CTGTACACAGAACAATGACTTTAAGAAGATTTCCACACCAGAACCCTAAAATGTATTTCATCCCCCCAAAAAGACCATTTCTGTAGTCAAAACAAAAGTAGTTAAAAGGGTTCTAAGCAGTACTCTTCCATAAAAATTTAGGGGCAGAGGAACATAAGAATTACCTTACAACATAATAGGATAAGCCAAATTCTGGAAGTGATTGCCATGCCTGGATAAACCTCAGTTTGGCTTCCATAAGAGACAGATGAATGATGTTGTGGTGGGCTTCTAGAATGCGAGATGCTAGCTAGGGAAACATGGAAAACAAAACACAGGTTTAACCAAAATAGAAATGAACAAGCAGCATTTAAATAGTCAAAAAGCATGGGCCACATACTTTTGCTACTTTACTAATCTGCCATTTTAAGGAAGAAAACCAAATACTGAGTACAGAGACACAATGTCAATAGAGGATGTGAAAATGTTGGCAACTTCATCTGTATGGACACCCTTTATTTTGACTCTTCATCTCCTTTCTTTGCACAGGTGAGTGGAAATGTTATTCTACCTACAACGGCACCTCTGTAACTTGGGTGACAAGCAGCTGTGACTTTTGATCAATTCTGTAAAATGCTGCTGTACTGACTTTTTTTTTTTTTTTGAGATTCTGAATTGGGAATTTCTGGGGTAAATTACAGGATTATTTTTTTCCTCAACTCCTGCTAGACAGGATCTGAAGATGAGAACTTCTAAATATGAAACTTCTGAACATGGAAGAGTTTAACAGTATACCTTCTTTTACTATCTTATTGCAGATGCAAAAACTCAGAAGAAGAATTACATAGAATCAATACACTGAGATAAAGGAAAAACAATTTTGGGGAGAATCCCCATCTCACAAATTTAAGTCCAATATTCTACTTATAGGTTTATGGTGACTCTTCAGATTTTACTTGTAGAACTCCTAGATCAGTGATGGCAAACCTTTTAGAGATCGAGTGCCCAAAAACTGGCCCTGCCCCTGCTCCACCTCCTGCCTCCCATCTCCTGCCCTGCCTGCCCACAGGGCCACTCACTGCCTCCAGGACCCGCCGCAGATCGCCCAGGCAGCCCAGCAGCGCTATGGCGGTCACGCTCTCTGCCCGCGCCCTGCACCATCAACTGGGCACAATGGGGTGTGAGGGCAGAGTTTTGTCTACGCTGCCTGGCTGCCATGTCCTTGGCTGCACTGCTCCGCATGGGCCACACTCAGGGGCGACTCTCCTTCAGAGGGGCTGCTGGAGAGGAGGGGGTCACGGGGGGAGGCGAGCCTGGGGCAATGGCACGTGTGCCCACAGAGAGGGCTCCAAGTGCCGCCTCTGGCACCCGTGCCATAGGTTCGCCACCACTGTCCTAGATTTTGCTGTAAGAAAAATACTCCTTGAAATTCACTTTTTGACCTATTAAACAAGAATCCTCTTATCCATTAGACCTGAGTCAGATTGAAGATGCTTCCTGCAATTTGCGCAAGATCCAGCTGTCCCTGTATTTTCTTTGGCTCCCCATTTACCTGCTTAGATTTATATTTCTTAGCATATCGTGGCGAGAGGAAGCATTCTGGTTTCAGGTCCATGCTTTCTACATCCGAAACTTCTTGGGGTGCAGCTGTTCTGCTTTTCATTTTCAAGAGTGAGAGGATGTTATGCACCTCGGATTGGTAAGAACTGTCTGCCATTGTTTTCCCTTTGGAAGCCAGTGCACAAGCAGCCATCCATCTGGCATACTGCTCTTCCTGCAACGAACAGTCCATTGAGAGATATTAAGGGAAAAAAATAATAATTCTGGTACCAATTTCTACTTGCATTGTTTAGCTGCAACCATTTGAAACACTGGTTAACTTCAACACAGGCTTCTGTTCAGAAAGCATCCCCTAGACAACAACACTTCATCAGCATGATTTATTTGTTTATTAAATAAATCACATCTCTTCTTCAGAAATTCAAGGGAGCAGCTTTTAAAGAGCCAACATGAAGGGGATGAACTGGTTTCTTACTTCTTCACTCATGTTTGGGTGTGAGAACAAAAATGACCAGAGCATTTTTTCATCTGTTAGCAAGCAGGCAAGTCCTAAGCTAGAAAAGAAATGTTTGCAACATTTAAGAGGAAGATCGAATGTTTAAGGAAGTTGCAGGAGTTGTGAAAGCTTGATTTTCATGTTTTTTTAGTGTTTGATTTGAATGCATTTTCAATTCCCTCCAGGGGGTGGGTGGGTCATACAGTACTACAGGACTAAACTAAAGTGACACTAAATGCATCATTTATGAGCCTTTGTATACTGATACAAATACAAGCAGACAGCAGTAAGAAGGCAAGAATTTCCTCTCCTCTTTCTGTGTTCCAGAAATAAAATCTCCTTGCACAAAAGGAAATTTCCTGTCTAGAATTGAGGCAAGCTCTGGCACAAGGCTGGGAATGTTCTTCAAGATCGTGGGAAAAAAGTATCAGCGATGGGAAGGCCTCTTATGAACTTTTTGCTAAAAAAAAAAAGAAGAGAAAAATGAACTTGTGATTGATGGGTGTGAAAATCAGAAAAGGGTAGCTTACGGAAAGAAGGAAATTATGATGTAACTTTAGAAAGAGAGAGCAAATAAAAATGTATTATGACTGCTGCCAAGAAGATTAGAAGCTGTTCTTTGTCATCTTTTTCTTTTCTTTTCTTTTTCTTTCTTTCTTTCTTTCTTTCTTTCTTTCTTTCTTTCTTTCTTTCTTTCTTTCTTTCTTTCTTTCTTTCTTTCTTTCTTTCTTTCTTTCTTTCTTTCTTTAACTTATATGTCGCCCATCTCACCTAGAGGCGACTCGAGATGGCTTATAACCAATAAAAACAACAAGATGACATATTAAAACAATAAATATTATCACTAAAAACTGACTTAAAAATGAACAAAGATGGCAAGGAAGTGATCAAGATGCACACAAGGAGGAGGTGGGTGTCTTAGGCCATTAACCACCTCCAGTATGACATGCCACCATCAGGGCCCAGGTCAACTGGCAGAGCCAGGTCTTCAGGGCCCTTGAGAAGGCCAAAAGAGTGAGCGTGGATCTCACCTCACCTCACCTATTTCTTTTTCCACTAATTACATTTTCTTTATTATTATCTTTATATTACCTGTATAAAATATATGTATAGAAAACATTGAACCCTTTTTTTCTCCCCACTGACACACCAGAACTCTTAGATCACCGTTGTCCTTTAATTTCCTTCCACCCCACCAGCCCATCTTGGGGGAGCCCGAGGAAATCCCAGGGCTATAGACCACACAAAATATAGCCCAAATAAAGCAAAGGCAAAATTACACTGTGGCTGAGAAAGCCTGTCCAAGAAACTGTCCAATGTTAATGACTTTAGGGAGGCAAACTGAGTTTCACAAGAGTTCTTCGGCCTGGAAGGTCATATGAGGCAAAGAACAAATACCGACAAATTTACAGAATTGTTTGGCAAAGCAGCTCTTTGACACAGACCTTTAGACAAAAATCCCCTCTCACAAATAGAGGCAGGCAGGGGGATATACATGCAAAGCAACCTGGGGTTTGGTTCATTGTTTTTTTTTTTTTTTACACAAGCCTTGTTTTATTTCCGTGCGTAAATAACTGGGAATATTTATGCACTGTGTGGGTTCGCCATGCACTGAAATGCCAGCCAAGCACCTGGACCTTAATGAGGTTTCCCGAGGGGTAACACAATGCACAAAAAGCACATCAGTGCCCCTCCTCTGTGCACACAATGGGTTCATTCAGCTGTTTTGTTACTCACGTCACCACACCTCAAATGTATTTCATTCATTCCATCAGCAACTGGGATGAGTAATTTAATCCCATATTTTTTCCCTGACACACTTACATCTGGGACAATTTCACATCCTGAACAACAAAACAGAAGAGAATTTATATGCAAACCTATGTTTCATCTTCATTTAAGAACAATACATGAGAAAGACAGGGAGAACAAACAGCACATTAAAAAAAGGAACAAGGCCAATTTTAAAAGGGTAAATGATTAATTAATCACAGTATTACACCACTAAAACAGGGGTCCCCGACCCCCTAGTCCATGGGGCAGTAGCAGTCCCGTTGGGAACCCGGGCTGCACAAGCAGCAGGCAAGCAGGTGAAGCTCCATTTGCGCAGGTGAAACCATCCCCACCCCTCCGGTGCTGCCCTTCCTTGGACATAGAAAGATTGGGGACCACTGCACTAAGAGGATAAATGTCAGTAATCTTGCAGACCAAAGTAATTTTATTCTGGTGTGCACCTAGTCTTACTGATACTGTTTAGGGAGACCATGATGTTTATTGATCGTCATCTGATGTATTTAAAACGATAGAGGACTGGTGCTGTGAGGACCTTTCTCCAGACAAATATAAGTGACATTGAAGCATGCAATAAGCAGATGTTCAATATAGGATTTGCAATATACACAGAATATTTGCACCAGTTGGGTTTCACAGCCTCTCACTGATCACTAATGTTGGCATAGTGTGAGAGCTTAGGGCAGCGAAAGCCTGGCACAATTTATGTGAAGCTATGGTAATACAATTTCTGTGGCCAAAGGAATGTATTACTACTACTACTACTACTAAAATAAAATAAAAAATAAAAAATGTGGCTTTGATGTTCCTCATCTTCACTCATGGCAGTGGTATCCACACTTTGGCACATATTATGTGAGCAACAATGTCATGGAGATTTGTCAGTAAATGAGATCGAAACACTTCTAACTATACAAAAACAGGTTGCAGTAAACACTATGTAAAGACAGATTATCTACGGTACAAAAATGCTCATTGTGTTAGATGTCTGTAGATGCAACAGCACTTCATAAGATGCTATATGAAATATCAGCTTCTACCTCTTAGGTTAAGCTTCTCAATAGGTTCTCCATGTTCAGCTTCTTTGTTTTTAAAGTAAGACACGGATGTGTCTTTAAAGACAAACCAATATTGCTTGAAGGCTTTCATCATCAGCTTTTTGGATCTGCAAACGAAGAATTGCTTCATCAAGTCTCTCTTCTAATGACAATATTTAATCAACTTTTTTGGCCAAGTTTTATTTCTCATATATTATGAAAGTCCATGTGGTTGTCTCATCCAGAAGTATGTGTTTTCTCTATTTTACCTGCTTTATCAGAAAGGAGCAAATCATGGGGGGCTAGTAGAAACTACAGTGACCCCCCCAAAAAAAGACAAAACATGCAAAACCTGGCCTTTGAGCTTACTTCTCAGTGCAAGTAAAAGTATGGAAATTGTGGGGCTTGTATTGTAATATTGTAATGCACATTTTATCACCTGCCCCCCTCTTCTACTTCCACAAATCTCTGAACTGGAAAATATCTTGGTTATTCATTTTACATCTCCATGTACAAAGATTGCTTTCCTGAAAGATTTCAAGTAAGTCATTCATTTGTTTATGAAAACACAAATTTGATCTTTTTTTCATGCAGTTGTATTTTAATGGATTTAATTATTGAATTTTATTGTGGCGATATTATTTTAATTTTGTAAACCATCCTGGGTATGGTTCTTATATTAAGGATGGCTTATGAACATATCACATCAGTTTCCAATTCAACTGAAATGACCTTGATCTAACATCATATTGAATTTTGAGATTTATGATATTGATTGCATTCAAAATTCAATGTAATAAAATGCAACGAAATATGCTGAAGTAATCCACATCGTTCAATATATGGGGTGGTTACCATCACTCTTTTTCCTTACCTAAATAGTTTGAGGTTATCAGCAAGCTTTGGAATGTCTGTGATATCCTCCTATGGAGAACCAAGAATTATGCTAGTAACAAGGCACAGCTAGATACTTTCAGTTGCATGTCAATGATTGGCCCATATTATGGTTGTATAATTGGTGCAATATTGTTGCATAATTGTGGCATATCATGGTTGCTAATTTGCTGTTTATTTTCCCATACTTTAAGCCTAATTCAGCAATACATTGCAGATAAATTTAAAAGTTTATCTCCCAAACAAATCCACAAATCTAAATTTGGGAGCTATGAAATAGCCCAGTGATGGCGAACCTTTTAGAGACCGAGTGCCCAAACTGCAACCCAAAACCCACTTATGCATCGTCGGGTGCTGGGTGGGTGTGGCCCATTGGCTGGGTGTGGCCCATTGGGTAGGTGTGGCCCATTGGGTGGGCGTGGCTGTGGTGGTAACAGCAGACTGGGTGGGACTAAAAAATTCAATCAATCAATTCCAACTTTGCAAGCTCTTTTTTCCCCCCTGCGAGAAGTTGAAATTGACTGATTGATTGAACTTTTTTTTTTTTTTGCACAAGGTGGCAGAGGCCTAAAGCGAAAAGGTTTCATAAAGCCCAGCTGAAGGCCTAGGACTGGGGCGACGACGCGCGTGCCCACAGAGAGGGCTCTGAGTGCCGCCTCTGGCACCCGTGCCATAGGTTCACCACCACTGAAATAGCCCAAAGCTATCTTCCCCTGAAATTATGCAATATTAAAAAAAAAAGTTTGTATCTCTTAAAATCTCAGGTGAATCAGAAATTACACACAAACTACCTTGTGCTAAAAATACCTGAAAAGGAGAACTTAGAGAAGAGTGATAATGTGATAATAAGGTTCCCCTCCTCTTGGGTTAAAGAGATATTGTACAAATATCCGGTTATTTTTGAACTCTAATTCTCTTTAGTCCAAGCAGATATTGATGGTTGATGTTGCAATTCATTCAACGTCCAGAGGGCCATATAAACCTCATCCTGGGCTACCAGGTATGGTGGGAAATATGCTCGTTGATAAGTCACAACCTAATTTCCTACACCCAGAATATTACCTTGACTCTGTGCCCAAATAAAGTGAATGGCATACCAATATGTTCTCTGATCTTCCACCTTCTAATGTTATTTCAAGATTGGAAAGTGCTGCTTCCACTTCATCAGTTTCACTTTCAACTGTGAAGTCTTGGGATCCTGATGATAAAGTCAACTTGCTGATATGGTACTGCAGTCAAGGGAAAAGATACCCAGAGGGTATCTTGGTAAGCTTGTTGATTTCATATACAGGAAACAAACTGAGAAGTTAACAGTAATATCTTTAAAATGGAATTTATTTAGCCTTTCCAATTGATCAGTATATTCTGACTCACCGCATGTATAAAATGCAATGGAAGCAGATATGACTTTATTAATTATTTGATCCTCTTTTTTTTTTACAGTGTTATGTATTTATAGCCGCCCTGAGTCCGTAAGGAGAAGGGCGGGATATAAATTAAATTAATAATAAAATAAATAAATAGCATCTCAGTAATAGACTGTCAATTGTAATTTCAACCTGGGCTGCTGCATGATGTATTTATCAAAATCAAATAATTCCTGGCTGTTTACATTCTTGGAAAGGCTAAAACTATTCATACAAAAAATTAAAACAGACCAAACAACATGGCCTTGTTTTAACCCATTTCTACGCAGTAGCTGCAAAGAGAAGCAGAGAAAATCATCCTTAGGCAGGCAGCTCTTTCATCTTCCCCAGCAAGAGATGTTTTAACAGGCTTGCTAGTGACGAGGGCCTTTTGCACTCTTACTAAACAGTTGGGATAGGCCAGGGGTAGGCAACCTTGGCTCTTTTATGACTCGTGGACTTCAACTCCCAGAATTCCTGAGCCAGCATGGCTCAGCTTGGAAACCTCTCCCTTTCCCCTCAGCATGGTTGGCTCAGGAATTCTGGGAGTTGAAGTCCACGAGTCATAACAGAGCCAAGGTTGCCTACCCCTGGGCTAGTGTGTTCCTCATGCATAGAAGAGAAAGGGGCAATCCACCTGAAACCGAAACAATATATATTATAGGGCCTCTTTTTTTTATTTTGCATTTCTCCCCCCCTTTTGGATTCTGTTTCTATGGACCCCATATCCCACTTATAGGTCTAGAGAACTTTGAGACTATGCCAGCATTTTGCAGCCAAATGTTTGTATCGTTTTTCCAGGGTTCTCATTCTAGTTTTACTTTCCTTAATCTTTCCCATTCTCTCACCTTCTCTTCTTTTTCCTCTCCCTTTCATTTCTATAGTTTATTCATGCAAAGGACCGACAGACAGAACAGGCACCAGTTTATCTGAGGGCAGTTTATCGCTTTCTCACTGGCTACAAGAGGAAGAGAGATGTTTAAAGGAAAAATGGCCCTTTCCAACTTTCTGGCAATCCTTTTTCCAAACTAAGAGTTCATAATTTTTTCCCCAAAGGTTATACCAGGGTGCTACTTTACCAACAAAAATCATCAACCAATTTCTTTACTGAACAATAACTCTTAAGTTATTTATTATAGTTTTATTGAAATGTGCTTTGCAGGATTTTATACATGAAAATCAATGTGGTTTGGATTTGAAGATTAAGAAAGACATGGATTAAGTGAGGATCTGAAGGAACTTGTATAAAATCCAAGAGGAAGGAAGAGCAATACGTTTGTAATTATCTGTTGAAAATGTCAGAAGTCATATTTCTTAACTTTAGTTTTTTCCCTCTTTTCTGTTTTTGCACTTCTTTATTTCCTTCTTTTAATTTGTATTTAATTCTATGAAAAATATCTTAATAAATATAAATTAAAAAAAAGAAAAAGAAAAGAAAAAAATGGTGAGCAAAAAAGAACAGAGATAAAAGAGCAGGAAAGTAATATTCCAAAAAGTAAACAAGGTCATTCCATAAATATGTGTGTTATAGCAATTCATCCAAAGATGAATAGAAGTTTGCCTTGCATACTCAATGAAAATGAAGTTTGTCCAGATAGGTACCTTTAGGGGATAATCCCATAAACTCTTTCAGAATATAAAATCCCATTCAATTCCTCGTGGCTGTTGTCCAATTAGACCTGCAAAGAACTGCAGTCATTTAATTATTGTTTAGGTTTATATTTGAAGTACTAATTTGTGAAGTGATCCGAAAACAATCAAACCTGGTTAATAAATGTGCAAAATGACCTTTTGTCCTTCTGTATAACACATCCAATCTGAGGAAGGACTCTATCCAACTCAAAACTCAAAATTTAGCACTTTAGGGATTAATTATATTTTCTCATTGTTTGGAAACGGGATTATATCATGATCGATCTATGTTCTGTATCTGGGAGGTAACACAATTCAACATTTGTGTGGCTGCAGTTGCTCTACAACATCTGAAGAATTAGCCGCCCCATAAAATATCCTCCGTTAATCATTGACACATGTGCAAACATAATTTGAAGTAGCAAACTAGTTTATCACTTTTGAAGAAAGGAGGGAGAAAGGTCTCACTTGGAACAATCAATCCAAGTCCTGCTCCTTGGGTGTTCATGTTCTGGCAGGTGGCTGCTTCAAACAGAAAAAACTGGTTCTGTAACAAGATCAAGTACATGCCTGCAATGCAGCAAAAATGAAGGTTTCTTCTTCTGTGCAGTCTATTTCTTCCAGCAGAATAGTCCAGCGAGCTTGCTCATATAGCTGGTGGATCCGTACTGCATCATACTGCCAAGAGAAGCCACATCGGGTTGCATTAGAAATAAACAGATTTTGCCACAGGTGCAACAGTTAAGCAGCCTAATTACCTCCAGATACACAATCCTTTGAAACAAACTGTGAAAGGGATCTCGGAGTCCTAGTGGACAATACACTTAAATATGAGCCAGCAGTGTGCTGCAGCTGCCAAAAAAGCCAACACAGTGCTAGGCTGCATTAACAGAGGGATAGAATCAAGATCACGTGAAGTGTTAATACCACTTTACAATGCCTTAGTAAGGCCACACTTGGAATACTGCATCCAGTTTTGGTCACCACGATGTAAAAAAGATGTTGAGACTCTAGAAAGAGTACAGAGAAGAGCAACAAAGATGATTAGGGGACTGGAGGCTAAAACATATAAGGAACGGCTGCTGGAATTGGGTATGTCTAGTTTAATGAAGAGAAGGACGAGGGGGGACATGATAGCAGTATTCCAATATCTCAGGGGCTGCCACAAAGAAGAGGGAGTCAAGCTATTTTCCAAAGCGCCTGAAGGCAGGACAAGAAGCAACGGATGGAAACTAATCAAGGAGAGAAGCAACCTAGAACTAAGGAGAAACTTCCTGACAGTTAGAACAATTAACCAGTGGAACAAAATGCCTCCAGAAGCGGTGAATACTCCAACACTGGAAGTTTTTAAGAAGAGACTGGACAGCCATTTGTCTGAAATGGTATAGGGTTTCCTGCCTGAGCAGGGAGTTGGACTAGATGACCTCCAAGGTCCCTTCCAACTTTATCATCATCATCATCATCATCATCATCATCATCATTCCATCTCAGCAAAGAAGGACACACCATTGGAAGACCTGAAGGATGCGGTTGGGAACAGATCGCCCTGGGAAAAATTTTTGTGGTTGCCAGCTTGATGGCACTCAGTCATGATGATCAAGATGGGGTAACTTTAGTTAACTAGAGGCTGCACCGCACACATAGTTAGAGAGCTGCATGTTTTGCACTGTATGTCAGCAGCTGCACTACAAAAATCAGTGGTGCCAGGATCAGACTTTGGGGGAAGGTTTAATGGCTTTATAAGGCGAAATAGATAAGGAGTATTTTAGACAGCTGTAAGAGGGATGACACTGATATATTCAAGTGTGGAACTGGAAAAATGCTATACATATTAATGTCCAAGACAAACTGATAAAGAGAAAGTGATAATGTTGAAAAATGAGAAGGCTGTAGATACAGATTGAGTGTTAAAATATACATATGGTTTGTTTAGGGAGTAGCTATGCAACTTACTTAATGTCTGAAGAAAGTACCAACAGCAGATGATAAGAAGAATGCCATTATTGTGGCAATATACAAACAAAAAGATAATAAAAATTAAGGTAAAAACTAAAATGGATTCACTGTAATTTTATGCTAGGTAGTAGGGTACTTTGACCAGAGCTTTTGCTGTTCAGTGGGCCAGTTAAGCAAAACATATGCTAAGATATAGGGAATGTTTTGCATAGATATGAAATTGAAGGTCGTCTGTTAAGTTTGGTAAGAGGGACATATGGTGGAAATAAAATACGTATAAGTATAAATGCTTTCAAGATTTTTCAATATTGAGCAAGGAGTTAAACAAGAATATATGATGACCTCTTTTCTGTGTAATGTATTTTTATGGCTAAATATATATGGAATATTTGTAATGATATTAGAGACATTTTGCTTGGGGACATGAATACAGTGAGCTGTTGGGAGAAATTAATCTTTAACAAAAGAAGCAAAAAAAACTGTAAGAGCATGCTTCTGCCTACTTAAATGGAATATGGAAATGAGTGGTGGGTCTGTCCAGAGAAACAAAGACATAAGTTGAATACAGTAGGAATGAAGTATTTAAGAAATGTTTAGTAATACAAGAAGTGATAGAATGAGGAATGAATGGGGGATGAGTAAATGTAGGCTGAATACAAAACTGAATAGCAAGTACAGTCTGAAAGAAATAAGTTCAGATAGTTTGGTTAAATAGAGAGAATGAATAAGCATCAAGTCTCAAAGGAAGTATATAGAAGAAGAAGGAGCTGGTTGAGAGGGAGCGCAAAACAAAGTTGATAACATTGATAAGATTATGTAACAAAAGGCAATTTATGAAGTGGTACGTGTACAAAGATAAAACAAGGATAATTTGCAAGATAGGAAGATATGGAGAAGCATAGTAAAGTGTTATGGTGCAAAACTAGAACGTGTTACTACTACTTTTTGTTCCTTATCTGCACTCTGCATAATACTGTTTACCCTAAAAGGGAGTAGAGAGTTGCATGTACAGAGTGTTCCAAAAGTCAGACTCCATAGGTCAATTGCAATATATTTTATTAATTTTCTTTTTCAGAGAAAAAAGTGTACTTTTTTAAAAGTCATGGTTAAAATGAGTTAGTATTGAAAAAATGTCAACAATTCAAACATTTAATGTTTATATAATAAATAGTACATGGGGCCTGATGTTTGGTACACCCTATATATGTGTCTGCATACCCCTGTACTGCTCTTGAAATAGTTATTGTTCAGTACACTAGCAGTTAAATTGGATCTCACTGTACAAGATTAATCAACCTACTTAAACACAAATGTAGATTTTGCATAGGATTATTAAAAGAGATAAAAAATCATTTTAATGTAAGTCTATTACAGTACAGAGAAGAGGATTGAATGTCTGTAAAAGTATTAAGGAAAATTCTGAACCAATCCTACAGTATCATTACAAAATAAAATTATATTATAGGATGGTATACCAGTTGCATCCCTTCCTGGATTGGAAGGTCCTCCAGACAGTTATTCATGCTCTTTTCACCTCATGGCTTGACTGTTGCAAAGCATCCTATTGGAGATTGCCCTTGAAGATGACCCAGAAGCTTTAACTGGTCCAGAATGGCAGCAGCTTGCCTTGGTATGCCTACATGATACCCTGATTTGCAGTCAGCACTGGTTTCCAGTATGCTTCAAGGTGCTGGTTATGATCTATATAGTTCTGTATGGCACAGGCCCCAGTTATTTGAGGACTGCCTATCATCCATGATGTCTATTTGGTCAGTCAGGGTTGAGAGAATAGGTGTGCTCTGGGTACCCTTAATTATACAGTGGCATTTTTCATGACCCAGGAAGTGTACTTGCCCTCTTAAACATTCCCACTTTGATAGTATCCTGGAAGGCTTTAAAAACTGGCTATTCTCCTAGGTCAGTGATGGCGAACCTTTTAGAGACCGAGTGCCCAAAAACTGGCCCCACCCCTGCTTCACCCCGTGCTCCGCCCCATCCCGTCCCCCGCCTGCCCGCAAGGCCACTCACCGCCTCCAGGGCCCGCCACAGGTTGCCCAAGCAGCCCAGCAGCACCATGGCGGCCACACCATGTGCCCACGCCCCACAGCATCAACTGTACGCAATGGGGTGTGAGGGCAGTCTTGTCTACGCTGCCTGGCTGCCATGTCCTTGGCTGCGCTGCTCCGCATGGGCCACGCTCGGGGGCGACTCTCCTCCAGGGGGGCTGCTGGTGAGGAGAGGGTCACGGAGGGAGGCGAGGCTGGGGCAGCAGCACGTGTGCCCACAGAGACGGCTCCGAGTGCCGCCTCTGGCACGCGTGCCATAGGTTCGCCACCACTGTCCTAGGTCTTAGGTGGGGTGGAGTTTGTTGTATGTATTGGGCATGTGTTTGTACTCACTGGTGTTTTGTGAATGGATATTTCATCTATTCATTTGTTTCTACTCTATTTCTATTTTGTTCTTTTATATTGTGAACACCCTAAGTCAGCCTGGAGTTGCTTGGTCCCAAAATCAAATAGATAAGTCAAACTAAAGAGAATATTCAACAAAAATCATTACACTACTTCATTTATTTTACTTATGTTAAAATAGAGCTGATATAGTATTACTGCATCAGATCTATAAGCTGTGGTTTGACCACATTCAGTTGTGAATACAAAATGAAATCCTTAATAGCAATAGCACTTATATACCGCTTCACAGTGCTCTACAGCCCTCTCTAAGCAGTTTACAGAGTCAGCATATTTTCTCCCCAACAATCTGGGTCCTCATTTTACCGACCTCGGGGAAGGCTGAGTCAACCTTGAGCCGGTGAGAATTGAACTGCCGAACTTCAGCAGAAGTAGCTTGCAATACTGCATTCTAACCACTGTGCCACCAGGGCTCTTAAACTTGCTTTTTAATTGACATATTGGAAATCTTAAAGAACTTCTTACTTTTGCATTCAAATCAAAGAAATCATAGTATTTAAAACGGAGTAGAAGTTGATCGTCCTTCTGGATATCTTGTTCCATAAGTGATCGAGATGAATCTAACCAGCTGAAAGGAAGAGAACACAAATTCCACAGAAAGAAAAATGTCAAGTTGCAAAAAAGAAAAGAAAAAAAGGACAAGATATCACAAATATATGGGGGACTGAGAAATATAGGATTTAGTAAATGCAGCCATAGTAAGGAAGCCTGAAATATATTTCTACACACTGTAATGCTCCTGCCTATTACTAGATGTTGCCCCTGACAGTGTTAGCCTCAATAAACTCCCTTTTTATGACCTTGTAGTCCCTTAAAGTGTTAGTCTCAATAAGGTTGGAACAACATTTAGCAGAAGTAGAGGTAGCTGTATAATTTTTTAATTTTAGCAAATGAACGTACTTAGAAATTACAAATCTTATGTATATAAAAGGAAAATATGTGTGCTTTGAAAAAACAATTGTGTTTGAGAAGAGAGAAATCCAGTTATGAACAATCAAAAGTGCAAAGAGGAATTTGAGCCTTGTTTTATTCCTAACAGAATATGTCAAGGTGTTACTTTTCATTCGCCCCAAATCTTCACGTTCTTGTTTCTAAGAAAATTCTAAATTATACTTGGGAAGTATACTTATCCCTAAACATATCTAATTGGGAAGAGGGGGAAGGGGTTGGCTTAAATTTCAGAGAAAACTGCCAGATAACCTGATTAATACTTTGTGTATGAACACACACCACACATAATCAACATTGCCTTGGCTTATCAAAATGGTCTAATGCTAGTATTCAAAGAGAAAGATTCCTCACCCGGCATTCAGATTGGCTTTGTCGACCAATGTCCGAGGCTGATACATTTTGGCGAGTGTCTCTGGTGCACAGTTAGGATGGCTAAACGCAAGGGTGGTCCAGCTCTGTTGTGCCAAGGGGCTGTCACTGAACCATGCAATGGTGGAAGGGAGAGGTGAACCAGTAATGGGATCGTAAGTCGGGGTCATGGTCTTGCTATATAAACCAGGACTGGCTGAAATAGTGAGAACAGAAAATAAAACTATCAGTTTATCACATCCCTGAATGTCAAAAGAGATGATTTTCTAATATAAACTACCTATATGTCTTTGAAAAACAGCTCTTTGGGACTCCATTTAATAGTTTTACAGGCAGCTTTCAACAGAAAACTAAATTCCAGCAATGTCTATGGAGATTCTCAGTCATCCAGATCATAGTTATCCCAAAGATGTTTTTTCATGAGGCAATCGGACTTCCTTGTTTTTCCTTTGAAGACGTTTCGCTTCTCATCCAAGAAGCTTCTTCAGCTCAGAGCTGAAGAAGCTTTCTTGGAGGAGAAGCGAAACGTCTTCAAAGAAAAACAAGAAAGTCCAGTTGCCTCGTGAAAAAGCATCTTTGGGAAAATTCCAGCAATCTTACATCTGTAAGGATAATTGTGCTTGCTCAAAAAAAAATTAGTTAAATGTACTTTTAGTTTTCTAACTTCAGATGCACTTAGGTTTGGAATATTATGCCACTGTTATAATTCACAGTATCTCTTTCTTTAATTTCCTGATTCCTGCCATAACAGTTTTTTTAATATGTAAATATCAATAACAATAATTATTCTATATATGGTACTGTGCCAGACCTGAATTGAATGGCCCTCAGGTTCTTTCAAGTCTTTCCCTAGCCTAGAAAAAAGGGAGAATGCTCCCAAGTGGGCACACGGAAAGAATAATGCTTAAATCTTTCACAATGCAGAACAGGGGTGTCCAACCTTGTCAACTTTAAGACTTGTGGACTTCGACTCCCAGAATTCCCCAGCCAGTCATGTCAGCCAGTTGAAGTCCACAAGTCTAATGTCATGGTTCCGATAGATGAGACCAGTAGAAATAAGAAATCTGAGGCATTTGCTTTCCTCAAAGAACAATTTTAATGACTACATAATATCAGCACGAACAAAGGTGAAACCAAGACGGAAAGTTCCCCCCCCAAAAGGTTACAAAGTAAAAGTTGAACTCCCCACCCTTATGTGTGTCATAAATCACAATCCCCAATTAACAACTTTGGCGGGCTCGCTAACGGTAGTTCCAGCCCGCCAAACACTTAAGACTGCTTGATCTTGGTTCCCACAAGAAAGTTATTGTTATGACTAAACTAGAAGAATGCATCTCCCCCCTCCCATTGCTGTGGCAACCGAAAAACGAAAAAAGATGGCTGCAGCCAGAGTTGTTTGAAGGTTTGACATCTTAAAGTTGTCAAGGTTGGACACCCCTAATGCAGAATAAGTTTAATAATAAGTCACGGAGTTGAAGTATACATATCAGTGAGCTCCATCCAAATACTGGATAGCCATTAGATGGGAAGCAAAGACTTCCTGCCAGCTAGTGACCCTCTGGACTTTTGCCGGTCACATAAGCTGTGCCTACCAGCAATGTAGAAAGAAAATTACATACGCAGCAGGAGTTGGTGTGGTTTAAACTGGTATTTCCCGTGAACACCAAGTCTTTTAAAAAAGCTGTAACCAATGAAGAACTGTTTCACTTTCCTAGCCTCCAAAAAACTTTCTTGCATGTCATTGTCAAAACTTAATAACTATCCCTAAAAATGTGTAACTGAAGTGAATACTTCTCCCTGAAGGCAGCATTTCCAATCCCCAATAATCCCTATCATTCTGAGTCAGTACAGCCAAAGTTAAAAACTAGCTATAGAGTAACAAACTCAAAGGTTTCTTTAATCTATTAATTACATGGCCTTTTTTCTTACTTTTGGAAGTTCAATGCATAGAGAAGGCAGCCAATAAATAAGTAGAATTGATAAATCAGTATTGTCTATTGCACTGTTACCTGGCAATCCCAAACTCACTGGTGAATTGTGCAGGTTTAAAACATCTTCTATGACTGGTTCTTTGTCTTTGTCCTTCTCTCTGTCTTTTCTTTTTTTCTTTTTTGTCTCATTGGTTGGCTTCAGCAGAGACAGTTCTTCTGATCGCCTAATACCTGCAACACAGTTGAAAATATCAACAGGCTGGAAGACCCGTGGGTTCTATCATCCAAGAGAATCCATCAATTTGACATATCACGTTCTTTTGCCCTCCTGGATTGTTAAAGGGCCAAAAAGATGACTCATGATTGGGCCCATACAATGGTTATTGGCTTCTTTGAGAAAAGGAGTTTTTCCTGCCTTGAAAGAAATGGTGATGTGGCTCCTCAAGAGGCCATCCTTGGAGCCAATGGTTTTTGACAACTACCATCAGTCTCCAACCATCCGTTTTGGGGGAAAGTAGTTGAAAAGGTGGTGAGAACCCTAAGGGAAACAGATTATGAAGGCCAATTTCAGTTGGGTTTCAGACCAGGGTTTAGTACCGAGACAGCCTTAATCAATTGTGTCAGGATGGCGATGGTGCATCCATTCGAGTGCTTCTTGATCTGTCAATGGCTTTCAGTAAAGTGGACCATGGTATCCTTGTGAGTCGACACCAAGGGTTGTGGATCTTTTTCCGGGGCCAGTTACAGTTGATGTTAGTTTGGGGGGGGGTATTTGCTTCTGGGTGCAATTCAAGGTGCTGATTACCTGTAAAGTCCTACATGACATTGGCCTGGTTACTTGAGGGACCTCATATCTCCCAGAATATCTGCCCAGATAATTCTATCCTGTAGTATTATCCCACTCTCTGAGCTCCTTTGATTAAATAACATCATATCTTAACAACCCAGAAGTGTGCCTGCTCTATGGCAGTACCTGCCTTCTGAACAAGATTCCCCCTGAGATCTGGATGCCCCCCCCCTGTTGTTTAGAAGAACTGTGAAGACTGGGCTTTTTGCTCAGGTCTTCTTTGCAGAGAGATATTGAGACTGCTTACTTTGTGTGTGTGTGTGTGTGTGTGTGTGTGTATTTTATTGTAATTTATTTTAATTTTGTGAGCAACCCAGAATCTTTAAGTGGCATAATAATAATAATAATAATAATAATAATAATAATGATGATGATGATGATGATGATGATGATGATGATGATGATGATAGTAGTAGTAGTACCAACACTGGCATTGACAAAATCATTTACTTAGAAACATTTACATCCTGCAATAATATCTTTAATATTATTAAATAACATCTGCCTCTCCTGGGTCCTTGAGAAGGACTTGCTAGATGGGCAAACATGCCAAACCAGTCTGAACATGTGGCTGGCGGTGTGACCAACTATAATAATAATTTTGCAAAGTAGAACTAGGGAAACATCCTTCACCACCAAAGGAATTTCTCTGCTTTTGAAATCAGCTATGGGGTTAATTTTTAATATATGGAACAGAGAAGAATATTACCTTTCCATTAAAGTATCTTGTTTCAAAAAGTTGGCTAGGACAAGAAGCAGAGAAACAGGATTATGGAGTAGGCAAATAAAACATTAGTGATTACTGGAAGTGCACCTGCTTTCGTTTTAACTTTATTCTGTGAAAACATTTAAGCCCCACTTTCCAGCTAGAAAGGAGACAATGAATAAAAGAAGGCAGCATCTGTCCTACGGTCTATCAGTATAAGAAGACTTTACAGCAAGAGGGGGAAAAACGGGCAGGGAGGGAAAAGGAAGACAACCAGGAACCAATTCTTAACGTTAAACCACTTATCTAATGATCAGTAACAATGGAAGCAGGCGGATCTAATTCAAACACTAGGTTTGACGAGAATCAAACAAATAGTCTAGAGGTGACCTTCCTTGAAAGAATTCTAACGAAGCTAGAAATTGTTGTTCTTGGTTTCCTCTGAGAGGAAAAAGGTTCCACCTAGCCCAACTGATAAAAGCAGCAGAAAGGAGATGTGAGATGATCCAGTCTTAATCTCCACCACACAACACTCTCCTTACGTTAGTGACCTAAAACTGACCCCAAACTCTTACTTAGATTAGATTTAGATAACCTTTATTGTCATTTTTTACTGTGAGCACACTGGCCCACATTAAAAATGAAATTCTGTTGCTTGCTCTCAAAAGAAAGTGTGTATCTACCCATACGCATATATAACACACATATACACATGCTATTATACATACATACATACATATATGTATATATGTGTGTATATATGTATGTGTGTATATATATACACACACACACATGCACACACACATATATGTATATATGTATATGTATAATAGCATTATATATATATATATATATACACACACACATATACATATACATATGTATATATGTATAATAGCATGCGTATGTGTGTGTTATATATGTGTATGAGTAGATATACATTTTCTTTTGAGAGCAGCCAACAGAATTTCATATATATGTCTGTGTGTGTGTGTGTGTGTGTGTGTGTATATATATATATATATATATATATATATATATATATATATATATATATATATATATATACTGTATATAAGGCAGGGATCAATCACTTAAGTATGATTATCAAAAAGTGCCCATAAAAGTCAAATTTGCGTTCAACTCAAAGGATATTTACTTTTACAATACTTCAGTAAATAGCCACTAATTAACAGTTCCAGGTAATCTACAAGTAAGTAGTAGATAAAACAGACGCTTGCCTCTACAACCTTCACTTGAACCCTCTTGCATGCTAAGATCGACAGAAGTAGCATTATATAGTTTAGAGATTGACTGTCTCAAGATCCAGGAACTTGAAGGCCAATATATCTGGAAGGTACCAAGTTAAGGGGAGCTACTTTAGAGTAAAAATGGCCATGATATGAAGCTCTAGTTCATCCTATTTCTTTTCAACTGTAATATGAGCTCAGATTCAAATGGCAAAGGGGCATAGCAGACTTTTGGGGAGCTGAGAGAGGTTTTAAATAGAACGGCAATTGCAGCTGCTTGTTCATGTTATCTGTACCATTTATGTTTTAAGAAAGAGTTTAATTGTTATCATCTGACTTTATAGGTAGTAAGCAATTATGAAATCTCTCGAGAACCATGCTGGCAAGGTAGAAGTTCATTTTAAAAACCTATTTTGCAGATCCTTTTTGCTGTATCTTCTCACTCCAGCCAGTCAGACATCTACTCAGTTATCCACCTGTCTCTCTGGTATGGTCTTCTCAAGCCTAGAAACTTCCAGTTCTGTTACCCCATAATTCCCATTCTTTCTATCTAGAAAAAAAGGCAATTCTATTCTGCTAATCTCCATCAAATCAACAATATTCTCAGGTTATGAAAAAGCCAGAATTCATTCAATCATGCCACCTACAGTGTGCTTGTTAAAACTCAGCAAACCATTCCTTGCTGTTCTATACAGATCCCTAACTTTATCTACCTCACTCACATTTTCATCTAAAGTGGTGATAGCTGAATAACTCTTAGCAGGCCATTTCCTGTTCAAATAATACAATTCACTGAGGTGTTATTTGCAATTATATTTGCACATGTGAAGAAAAAACATGATCTTTTATCTATGAAAGAGTGATTTTGATTTGATTTTCTCATACCTAGCAAATGAATCAGTGGCTAGTACTTGTGCTACAGAAGACTTCTACAGCATTTATAGAAAGCAATATTTTAATCTGTCACTATAGTCATATACACACATCTACTCATCTACATACACCTACAATCCTTTTCTGCAGGCTGGTACAAGTCTTATTTGTGGTTAGGAATATTTCAGAGATAAATTCCTGGTTAAGCAATACCCAAGGCTTTAATCATTGTAATTGTAGTGTGTTTACAGACATGTGCTAGGAATTTATATTGCGAATTGCACAGCTGCTAATATGGCTTGAGGTGATACATTCCATCTGCAGAAAATGTAGCATATCATTGGGGAGGTGTACATTGATAAACTGAAATTATGCTTGTGCACAACTTCATAACTTTAAAACAGCAACCCTCAACATTGGCTCAAACTATTATGTTCAAAGACCTCTGAACCTGGATATCAGTATGAAGGTAGTGCAATAAGCCCACTACAATTATTTTAGAACTTTCTGCTCTTTAACATACAGCTGTAAATAAACAGATTTATCTGTAGAACCATAACTTATTTTTATCTTACAGATATGTTTTATTGATCAAGATCAACCAACAGAACTCATGACATTAAAAAATTCAACCAATATCAAATACACAAGATAGATTATAGACTCCTCTTTGTTGGTGATGTTTGAGGCTGATAGTTTGTCACGCACGTTGCAATTATGGATTTTATTTATTTATTAAATTTGTAGGCCACCCTTCTCACCAAGGGGCGACTCTAAGAGGCATACAACTATGTAAAAATAAGATGAAAGATTAAAATATCAAAACAATAAATATTAACACTAAAAATCGTAAAAGATGGGAAGGAAGGGAGCAAAATTACACACACAAGATTATCTCAGTCCAGAATTCCTTGCTTGACAAGGTTTAGACTAGATGGGAGTTCTCAGGGTCACTATTGGTCCTCAAAGGTCCATTGTTGTTGTTGTTATTCATAGTACCATTAAAGTAGTATTTATTAAATTATTTTAATATAGGTGTCTTGGGGTGTGTGTGTTGATGAATAATCTGAAACTTTATGAAGGGGTTGATGAGGTGAAGAGTTTGGGGATCCCTGATTAGATGATCTACAAGGTACTTTCTATCCCTTTCATTCTAACTTTGGGTGACTAATTATATTTGAGAGCCCAAACAAAATAAACACTGTTGTTACATTACAGGGACCAAGACTACAGAGCGACTATCCAATGTCCCATTGGGAATCAACAACCTGACTGCGCAATTATCCATGTTCAGGAGTTTCAAACACATTTTCGGGTTTTTAAAGGTTTCCACTGAACATGGACAGGGAGTCCTGTGGCTGTTATGGGGCTTTACCATTAAATGATACCATGTGATTTGGGGGCCTGCAAAAGCATGTAAAATAAGGCCTCAGGCAGTCTGGATGTCTAGATGGATGTCTTCCTGATCAAAGGTCTTGTATTACTTCCTCTTGTGAATGATGATTCTTCTAACTGATAAGAGTCTCACCTATAGTAGGAATGGCTGTTTGCACTACGAGTCCTATCCTGCCTCCCCTTCATCCTGAGATATGTGTAGACACATCTTGTTCTGCTTTTTAAAACATGTAATTGATGTTCCTCTTGAGTGGGTGAAAACAATAAGCAGTAATGGGTAACTATGCAGAAATACCTCAGAATAAATCAAGTGATTTGCTTTGGGTAAAATAAGCTCCAAATACTTTTTTCATTGATTATTACATTTGTATGAACAAAAGTTATTGGGCATTGGTCTTATTCAGCCAAAATCCTATTTTCTTTATATTTGAGAGAATGCAGGATTCAATGGCAATTTCTCTCAAGGCTGCTGATCTGACCCCCCCCCCTTTAAAAAAAAAACCCATAGTAAAATGGTTAGAATAATTTCTCAAACTATCAATGGAGCTGAAGGACTGAGCTAAACTATCTTTAAAAATCAAACTACTATCTTGCACAGCCCACATTTGCTCTCATTTTCCTTTTACTTTCAATGGATTTTAGAATTGTAAATCAAATACGCAAACTTTAGGATCTTGAACCGGTAATACAAGCAACTGTCCTTTCCTCAACCTGGTTAACTTTCAGATGTGAGGATCTGGTTACATTGTCTTAGAATTCCAGGAGAGAATTCCATAGATAAAAGGCTTAAAAGAAGCAGAGAGGCTGTGTCCATATGCCCATGGTATGGAAGTGCTCTAGCCACCAACTATCATTTGCATGACAAGGTACTTGTACTGAAATGTTAAAAATTCAAGAGCCCTCTTCTCTTCTGCATCTGGCTGCTCAGTGTGGGAAGATGCCAGGGTTGAAGCAAAATTCAGTCACAGTTCGATTAGAAGTAGATGGGCACCTTGATCAAGCAGGCAATAACTTATATCTTGGACCTGCTATAAAAACATAGTAATGGAAAAAGAAACGCTCTTCTCAAAATAAGTGACTCAGTGTTATATGAAAAAATGTTCAATATATTACGATCGTTGAACAAAATCTATTTTCTCATAAACTAGAAGGCAGATCTTCCAAAGAGAGAGAAGCAATATGTCTTCATATCTCATTGGGGGCTGCTGTTTTGTAGCAGTGAAGGCTGCGTCTGAAAGTGATGTGGTTGATAAGCTTGGAATGGGTGAATATGATGCATGGTGAAAGCCATCACTATGAATATGAAGGGATTAATTTCTAATTTACTTAAAGATTTTTGTGTGTGTGTCTTCAAGTCAGTGCTGACTCCTGCCAACTATCTGGACAAGTTTCTGCAGTTTTCTTGGCAAGGTTTTTTTTAGAAATGATTTGCCATTGCCTCCTTCCTAGGGCTGAGAGAGAGTGACTGGCTCAAGGTCATCCAGCCAGCTTTCGTGCCTAAGGTGGGACTAGAACTCAGATTTTAGCCTGGTACCTTAACCGCTACAACAAACTGGCTCTCATACTTAGGGAAGTATATTTATGAAAGTAATGAAAAAGCTGACTATCCTAATTACTAATAACCTTATTAGTTCATTGAAAAGCTCACAAGTATCCCCATACTAAATGGACCACGTTCATCAAATCATCCGGTTATGCTTCAGTTACTGTTGGAAACAGTGTTCCATGAGAATTCGGATATAAAGTGGAACATTCCCAAGACAGACCATCTGGACATCAGTTACAACATGTGCCAGAAGCACATCAGGGCGGAATAGATGAAGACCACTCACCAAGGCTCTTGCAGATGTCCCCGACAACCCTGAATACCACGGAGGAGAAGCTGACATTCAGTCTCACAATTTTCATACTTGGTAAGCGAAGGCGAAGAATTTTGTGCTGAGGGGTAAACAAGAGTATAGCATCTGCTTGCACTCCATATTTGTCTAGGGTCCAATGAGTTTTCAGAAGCCAGCATTTCTTTTGCTCCCACCAAAGGGCATAGTCTGACCAATCTTGTGATATCCCTAAAAAAAAAAAAACACGTAAAAAAAGGAAAAATAAAGCAAAGCAGGAATTTTGAAAAGGATACCACAAATGCTTCTTCTGAAAAATACCACAGAGCTGAGGGCCTGGTTATACATGATATGCAGTGGTGGGATTCAACCGGTTAGCACCACTTCGGCAGAACCGGTAGCTAATTTTTTGTTGCCCAGGCCCAGAGTGGACTTCCAGAAGTGGCATCCACACAGAGAACCAGTTATTCACATATTTGAATCCCACCACTGATGATATGTATTCCATTAGAACCATTTGTAAGCTATCTAGCCTTAAAAAAAGGCAGAGAAAGCAAGAGGCCCTCACCAGTTAGAAGTGACTTTCTGTATCTAGTGTTTCCAACTTACCTCATGGGTGGTTATTGGGAAAAGTGGGAGAAGGACCTACTTATGCCTACCTTGAAGTTTTAAACAAAGGTGAGATACAAATCTAACAAATACTAGCCCTCAGCCATATGTATAAATAACTGACTTTGTCTGATGGACAAGGTGGCTTTGGGTATCTTCTATATCTTAACCAGTACAGTGGTGATGGGTATACTATTCAAAGACTGGAAGATTGGGGATTGGGGTCAGAGCATCCTGGAGAAAATGTGGTTGTGAACAGTCAGCACTGACTTGATGACACATAATCATCCTGGGCTTAACATTTGCCCTTTCTTTCTTGTGTTTTACTATAAATAGAAACAACTATAAATAGAAATTATGCAACCCATAATTTCTATTCTTGCTTTTCATTCTGCCTACTGATGGTATTAAATCAATGCCTGCTATATATAAATACTAAAATCTGACTTAATATGTGATACTGGCTTGTCTTATAAATCAGCCCTTGCTTGTTATGACCTCCGCAACACTCCAAACATATGCTGTCTGGGTTGTTCCCAGCAGATGTTTTTAGTATGGTTGTAGACATAACAGCATGAAACAAGTTGCAGTAAATGGGCAGTTGTATAAGTGATGTGTTATGCAGAAACCTGCAGAGCTTTTAGATTTTCCTAGAAGGCTTCCTCACTAGAAGCCCAGTGTCAATAGCCCATGATGTCTGCTCAGTAGCTCCCTCCCACCCTAAGGGGAGGTGAGTGGTTCAGAAATGTGAAAAATAAATAATGAATGGAAAAGCAGTTTTTTTTTGCTATCTGCTTTCTGGGACATGAGCTCAAAACACCCCAAAATATGTATATTACTTGGGAGGTTCCAATTTCACTTGTATATACAGTATAGAATGAGCTGCTTCTGTCTCTCTCTCTGTCTCTCTCTCTGTCTCTCTCTCTCTCTCTCTCTCTCTGTCTCTCTCTCTCTGTCTCTCTCTGTCTCTCTCTGTCTCTCTCTCTCTGTCTATCTATCTATCTATCTATCTATCTATCTATCTATCTATCTATCTATCTATCTATCTATCTATCTATCTATCTATCTATCTATCTATCTATCTATCTATCTATCTATCTATCTATCTATCTATCTATCTATCTATCTATCATCTATATCCCGGATTCAGCATTTTATACTCTGACAATGTCGGCAGTGTGGCTGATGAAAGCTCAGTACTTTTGCAAGATTAAACAGCTTTATGATTTTATCCTGGTGATCATTTTTATCTATTCCATGTTATGTGTATACCTGGGATTCGTGTTTTTAATATTATTAAGGACAAAACCTATCTATCTATCTATCTATCTATCTATCTATCTATCTATCTATCTATCTATCTATCTCTATCTCTATCTCTATCTCTACTTTATTCGTTTTGGGGTTGCTTCAGGTTGCCTGAATTCTTCTGTCCTTTAAAAACACTATACTCACCAATTTGTTCCACAAGTCTGAGCATCAACCCTCCGACATGAAGCTCCCCCGATACTTGAAGGGCAATCTCTTTTTGTTCTTCTCCATTGTGATGATCAACTGTGACTTTGAGCTCCCAGGAATTGGAACCATATTCATTTAAAGAAACCATAGCCCTGTTGGAAACTCCAACATTTGTTCCAAAATTTAAAAACAAGGGAAATATATATATATATTTCTTGTGTCATTGTTCTCTAAGAGCATGGTGAAATATTGAGGTGGCTTCATTGTTATTAACATCTGCTCCTCACCCAATATATTTTTTCTCTTTTAGCTTTGTGCTTTTTTTTAGAGTTTTAACATTTTAAAACAACAATACTAATAATGTTTTCTATATATTGTTTAGCTTTGTTGTACTTGCCCAGAGTCACTGTGTCATTATGTGAGGGGCAGCTATATAAATTTGTTAAATGAATGACTAAATGAATGCATGCATGCATGCATGAATGAATAAAATTTGAGTCTGCTTAACCTGGCTAAAGACGCTGGAAGGGAAAACAACAACAGGCTCCTCTGTTCACTTTTGATATGATGAATCAGCTCCTGGAAATCTAATCTGATCTCCTAACAGGCCAGTTCTAGAATGTTTGCTCCCTGGGGTGGACATGTGCATAAGCATGCATAGACACATTGTGGAGACACAACACCCAAGGCTGGTGATGTTATTTTGACACCTGAGGCAGAAGATTCCACAAGCATTCCTCCCACTGTCTGGCAGTAAAACACACAACAGTCTATTAAGTAACTAACAATTTGCGGTCTTTTCAGACATCCTTTAACAACTCCTAAGCGTTGTTTTACTCTGCTTGACTGCAGGGGCTAAATTTCATAGGAGGATCATTGTTAAGGAATATTTTTCAGCTTGATAATGGCTCCTGCTTACTTTTTTTTTCTTGAATGCAGAATAGCAGCCTCTTAACCATGTTGGGATACATTCAAAATAAATGTTTTGTGTCTTTTAAGAACTGAGAATAATATCTTTGTACTTGTAACACTGTACCAAGTTCCAAACCATCTAGTCTGCAAGCTACAAAAGCAATCACTCATAAATTTGCTGTATTTGTTTTTAACATCTATGTGATGTGTTGCATCCCCAAGCAAACATCTAAAAGTACTTCTGTATATCACAGTCAATATACAGGTAATCCTTGACTTAAAACTATTCATTTAGTGACTGTTCGAAATGACAAAGGCTGAAAAATGGCTTATGACTAGTTTTCACACTTACGACCATTGCAGCATGGGGTTAAAGTCAGGTGCTTGGCAACTGGCATTTATTTATGGCAGCTGCATTGTCCTAATGTCATGTGATTTGTAATCTTCCCAGCCAGCTTCTGTCAAGCTGTCAAGGGTCGAAGTCAGGTCCACTTAATAACCCCATGATTCACTTAATAACTGCAGTGATTTGCTTAACAACAGTGGCAAAAAGGTCATAAAATGGGGCAAAACTCACTTAACAACTGCCTTGCTTAGCAACAGAAAGTTTGGGATCAATTGTGGTTGTAAATTGAGGATTAGCTGTATGTATTTTATTTCTTATTAGTTAAACTTCAGCTGAAGCATTAGATCCCAACAGGACACCACCTCCTTCTTGGTTTTATATAACTCTCCTAGCAACTTTTTCTAAAAATGCACATTCACAATAATGTTTTTGTGAATTTTATTATATTAACCCAATTAACAAAATTTAGATAGATTGAACAGAACTAATGAAATAGAATGTCAACCTTAGTCATCATTTAAACAAAGAACAACTATGCCAGAAAGTCTAGTTTTTTATATTCTTGAAGAGCAACCTCATTTTAAGATTGTAGGAACCCAATTTTATATTATTGCAAGAACATTTCTACTGTTCTGTGATGCCACGACATTCAAAGATTTAAATTAGTAAAATCTTCTTCCACAATGTCTTATTTTGAAAGATTCTAATAATTTCCTATTTCATTTAGTTCGCCCCTCCCAGAATCATGAGAAAAAACACAAGCTCTAACCCTCATTGTTCATTTTAGCAGCTTGAAGATGTGTGGACTTTAACTCCCAGAATTCCCCTGCCAGCAATGCTGGCAGGGGATTTCTGGGATTTGAAGTCCACACATCTTCAAGCTTACCAAGATAAAGAAACACGGTTCTAGATACACTGCTGATCCCATCTTCCATCATCCTTTCAAAACAGCCAGGGATCAGAACAATGGCAATTAGAATTCAACACTCTGAAAAATGCTCTCAGCTATTTTTACCTATGTCCAACACAACTGAAAAGGTTGTGAAAAGGTTATCCTGAACTTCCTTGAAGTGTGGTGAGGGGCAAAAAAAAAAGGAAGTAACTCGGGCCCAACGTATCCAGGCCAGTCCATATTTCAAAGTGTTTTGGAAGTTTTCGTCTGAGCTTTTAAACATCCCTCCCGCTTCCTACTCCAAGGTTTTGGATTACAAATATGTTCGCTGCACTGACACCCACCGCATCCTCGCTTTCAACAGAGAAACGATGCCTTTCCACTGGGGCTCGAAAGAGGCAGATGAGTGCTCGGCTGGTACCCCAAGCTGCACTCGATGAGGTGGTTAAGAAGGGAGATGGGATGTAGGTAGGTGGAAAGGAGGAAGGAGGAGAGGTTGTGGGTCAAGAGGGAGGAAGGATAGGAAAGTGAATGAGGGTGGAGGCAAGGCGGGGACTGCCGAGCGTCTCCGAAAATGTATTGACTAGGATTATCTTTTTTGTTTGTGTATGTAAATGCATCATATTGGTATTTGCTGTTTAATTACAAAAATCAATAACAATTTTATTAAAAAAAAAAAAAAGAAAGGGGCAGACGAGCATTTTAAGGATCCCAACGAATTGTGGCTCCTGACTGGTTCAGCTGCCACAATTTAACTCAATTCCCCTTTAACCCTCAGGGACCAAGTTCAGACGCCGCAAGTCCTGCTTCCTGCAAGTACACTGACCCAAGGGGGCTTGGCTAGCCGAGGCACCGCTTTTGTCCCATTGTTACCCTCCGTGCATTGTCCGAGGGGCGTCAGGTCCCGTTGCTAAGAGAGAGCCATCTGAATGCGACGGGACCCTTCTAGGTCCAGGCGTCTGCACTTGGGATAATATGACATTTTAATCGCCGCCCTCCTTTGAACGGGACTCGGAGACCAGGTATATTTCTTCACGTAAAACTACATTAATGTCCAGTAAGATCCGATGCCATTTTAGTTATGACTTGCAACGGTTTGAAAATAATAAGCCTATTAAAACAAGCCAACTCTAGAGCAGCAAACATATTTTCTTGGTTTAGCAAAGCGCTTAAAACGAGCGCCCGATTCGTGTATGGCGCAGGAGCTTTGGTATTTCCCTTCCCTTCTATCCATTTTAGCGGACCATGGCTCAGAATGAATATACATTCAGAAATATGTATTTCTTTGCATTAGCTGGATTATCTAATGGGTTATTTTTTTTTTTTTTTACTTTGCACGCCGGGCCGAGTCGCCGTTAAGCGGGTGGAACTGGACATTTGCTTTTTAAAAGAATAATCACAGCCTAACCAAACGCTCCCGAGTTTGCCCAGGCTGAGAGGCTTCAAAAACAAAGCAACGCCCAACACTGACACCGGACCAACATTGCACACGTTGCGGGGATTTACCATACCCGGGTTAAGAGTCTTGTATGAACATATAGCCAATAAGCTAGTACGCCTCCCCCCCGTATTCACAAAGCATATGCGTAACGATGTCCCATTGGTTACAATCAAGCTCGTAATTCCCCGCCGGACGAAAAAAAAATCCCCGACTTTCCGGAGATTCCGGAGAAGCCGAGTTAGTCTCGGCTGAGATTTCCTACCTGGTCAGCGAGGGAAAATGCCCAGAACTCGCGCGCGCCGCTCCCTCCGCCACTCCTGGACGCCGACTAGAGCCTCGCGCAGGTTCGAGCAGTTCCGACGGAGGAGGTGGCTTACCTCAGCCGCTCTCCCAGCCCCGCCTTCCAAAGCGGTGGGGCCCGCGAACAGCAGCAGGTGTCCCAGTTAGTTGTTGCTGCCGCTTCCTCCTCCTCCTCCGTCGGGTGAGAGACCCCCGCGAGCGGGGTGGGGTGGGGTATTTGAGCATGGCTAGGATCAGATGGCTTATTTATTTATTTATTTATTTTTAATAATTTTTATTATTTAAGCCAGGGGTAGTCAACCTTGGCTCTTTTATGACTCGTGGACTTCAACTCCCAGAATTCCTGAGCCAGCTGTCTGGCCCAGGAATTCTGGGAGTTGAAGTCCACGAGTTATAAAAGAGCCAAGGTTGACTACCCCTGATTTAAACCAACAAAACAAAACATAACACACATATATACACAGTATATATTCCTCCCTTTTTCTAACAGCGACTTCGTAACAGTAATCTTCTATTATTTACATTCCCCCCCCTTATTAATAATAATAATAATAATCTTTATTGATTAGCCCTTGGGCCATATCAAAGTGCAAAGTTCCAATAACAAATCATTACCCAAGTCTAATAAAAGCAATTTAAAATAAAATTTGATAAAATACAGTTTAAAATGGAACTAGAATAATATATGACTTAAGATGAAATTGGAGTAAAATACAGTCTAAAATGAAGTTAAAAT